ACCGATTTTTATATGAAATTTTTTAATCCCGATTTCATCGAACTTGCTTACCAGGACGGACAGTATATATCGTGTTTCGTATGGCCATAGAATATATTCGCAGATAAGTGCCACGGTAGCGTTAATTGCGTCTTTTAAAGCTTACCTTTGGTTTTAGACTTGTTTTTTTTTTATCATTAAACAGCTATTACTGCAGAGAAATGGTTTCTTTTCATTTTCGCGAATTATTTGTTACGTAGAAAAATTCCCTTGATAGTAAAAATGGCGTAAAAAGCGACCGAACTGTAGGCAAATTCAACAATTCTGCATATTTAATATAATTTCATTTTCTTTAATGCTATTTGCTACGCATTCACGTTATATAACTCTGTTCTAGGCTACCGCCAGCAATTCTTATACTGCTTCCTCACACACCACTTATTGCGACCTGAAGCCTAGCTATATATCGCATATTATGTAGCATATAGCATTGTTGTTGGTAGCAGGATATTCTCCTATGAGTTGATTTTTTGCTCATTCTTAGCATGCATTTTTTTTTTTTTTTCCTACGGTTCATGTTTATTTTCTTGCTACGCGTATTCATTTGTGCAATAATTAGACCAACAGTAGTACTCATGGTAGCAGTAACTGCAACATTTTTAAGTATTTGCTTGTAACTGTTGGACTCGTAGCCTGTTGTCGTTGCATTTTTTTTTTTTTTTTGTTTTTGTTTTTTTTTTTTTTTTTTTTGTAATTTAGCAAACTATTGTTAATGATTTTTATGCTCTGGCATAACACATTAACCAAACACAACTTACATATTCCATGTGACGTGACCTGGGCTTAACTGCCACCACCAACACCACAACCGAGCGAACACCTGAACATATTATGTCATGCCGTAACATCTCGGGTGAGCACGTTCCTCCTCTTTTTCCCTTTTTTTTTTGTCGAGAGAATTGCGAAATAGTCGACATTTATACGTTCTTCGCTTATTCATTTCATGTAGCTGTTGTTGTTGCTGTTATTGTTGTTGTTGTTGTCGTAGCTGCTGTTGACTGGGTATCCATTATCGTTCCACATTTTAAATTTACACTCCATTTACGTGGGAAAGATCCTTTAACCAGGAAGTCAACAAAGTGTCACTATACAAATTAAGGCTCCTTGCTGAGGACTTCAAGAGATGTATTTGTTTAAGTCAATTTCCTTAGTCGCTCTTAAATATTCAGGGAAGCAGGAAGAGGATGTAGCATGTCCCGGTTGATGAAGAAAGCTTCACAAATTTTATGGAAACTATAATATATCATAGTAACAAATTGTGAATGAATCCGAACTTATCGTTCTAAAGTCGTAAATGTTCTCCCGGTCGAAAAAATAATGGGACTTCTCGTTAAGCAGAAGTTCTTGTGGGTTTTGGTGGTTTTAGAAATAGGCCAAGCATAACAGAAGTTGAGAACATTTATGCTTTTGAAAGTAAAAAGTGTATTTATGCGTATTATCCTTAACCGACAACAAATGCACCGGTAAAAATTTCCACATATACTCTATTAATGCACCCGTGCCCGTCCGATATTGTAGAATAACCATTTTGATCATTTTATCACTTGAGAAAGCAGTTGCAAGCAACAGTTGGTGTAGTACCGTCAATTATTAATCAAAAAATTTTCCGCCACTTTTTTGCAAGTTTTTCCCATCTTTCTGGCAACATCGCGATACCGTGTCGAAAGAACGATATTGGTTTGGCTTCGATCCATTTTTGCTTTTCTTCACCATTTCGAAACCGCGTGCCGGTCATGCCGCATCGATCTGAACAAGTGGTAATCGGAAGGCGCTAGGTACAACAGAATTTCCCATTCGAGCTGTAACTGTTTATGCTTGACAACTTTTGTAACATGTGGTCGAGCATTGCCACGCAAAACGATGATTTTGTCTTTGTTGACAACTATAGCAGAATTTTTTTGCAACTATACATCGTTCATTTTGTTCGATTGACGGCGGTAGACATCTGCACTAACAATTACATTCGGTTCCAGCAGCTCGTAATACGCTACGACTTGCTGGTCGATCACACCATCTACACACCGAACCTTCACGGCCATGAACATTCCGCTTCGGTGTTGATGTCAATGACTCTCCTGCCCTAAGCCATGTCTTTTTGTCCTTGACATTGCCGTAATGCAGCAAGTTTTCGTCCCAGAAAAATCTTCTTCTTTTTCTTGGCAACCAACGAAGCCGCGATGTCGAAATGGGTCGAAAAGGTATTTTCAGCCAATTCCTATGGTAGTCATTTTCCCTTGTCTTGGATCTTTTCCATCGCATGTCAATGTCTAGAAACAGTTGATTCATCAACTGGTTATTTATTCGAAAGTCCTTTGAGAGTTTGTAGTGTGTTCTCGTCCAATAAGTCTTGCAATTCATTGCCTTCGAACTTTTTTGTTCTTCCAAGCCCTTCTCTGCCGTTGACATCAAAATCCCCATTTTTAAAGCATTGAAACCAAAACCAATAATTGGGATATGATGGAGCAGGATCAGCACAAGCTTCTAAAAGTGTTTGGTAAGCTACGGCAGCAGATTTATCTAAATTAAATAACAAAAACAATGAACGTCGAAAATGTAATATTGAGCGTTCCGTGATAAGCGCCAGTGTACGCTGAATAATTTAATGATACGAACAGAGAAACTTTTATTTTATGTAGAGAAAGGTCAAAGTCATCGATTTTAATCATTCGTGTCTCTGATCATGCAAGCACCTATTAAATCTGATAAATTAAATTAGATAAAGAATATCGGTGTAAATATTTGGCCGAATCGAATTTGAGTGAAATATGATTGTCTTACTTATTCCAATATCTGGACAAACAGGAATCGCGTTAACGGAAAAATTCAAAAGTTCGCTTTAGCTACTTCGGCGTCCGTATAACAAAAACCTCTAAAACTCATGAACGCATCATAAACTAATCACAGAAAGAGCGCAAGGAGTGCAATTGTTACATTCAAGTAGTCGTCAAAAAGCCGAATTCGATTCTAATTTTGTCCTCAATCTTTTCGCGATTCAGGAAATTTTTTTAGAAAATAATCATTATTTCCCTTACCTGAATTTTAATTTATTGTTAGGATCGTCATTTTGCGTGACCGAATGCGTGTGTTAATAAAAACAAGGAGAGACGCTATATTAGGTCACGGCCAACGATTCAATATCCTACACCGCCTCACATTTATTCGTATAATCACTTTCCCAACAGGGCGGTATATGAGAAGTTGTCGCAAAAAATTTGCGATATGAACTACTTTCAAGTGCGTTCGTCTTTTGGCCAATACGCATCAGCGTATCAAATTCTACTAAAATATCTCAAAAATTCCAATCTGTAGCTTGAACATAATAATAAAGACGGCCGGACTCGCGGAGAAGCCTAGATGAAATTGTAAAGTCATTCTGAATCAATCTATCAGAAAGTGACTCTGAATCGACCTACGTAATAAAGGGTGAATCTATCTCAAGTGCTTCTTTTGCGTACTGTACGCATTTGCACAAACTATATATATATCTGCTTCTACCACAACTGATTTAAGATATAAAAATCTAGTAAAAATTGTCAAAGTATGTTCTATCTCATTATAGATCTTAACAACTTGATTCCTCAAAGAATGCTAAATGCTAATTGTATGCCGTGAGATGTCCTGACAACAAGCCCATGTTGGCATCTCTCAATAGTTGTAATGCACATTTTCTACATTTGTACAAAATGTTTCTATCAATATTCCTTTGAAAGGGTTCCTTCCCTTAACATTGTTAGGATGGGTATAGAAATAAGTGTACTCACGTGTGTATAGAGCTATGAAACTATACTTGTGCCTGCACTGCACATATATAAATTGGATTTATCTTTCCATTTCAGCTCGAACGAAAATCTATGTAAGGGATATGAATTGAATGAATTTGAATGTTATACGACATTTTTATAATTAATGTCACCATCTAATGCTACTATTGTCACAATTTTCGTGATGTTCAACACATAAATTATAGACTACATAACATTTGCTATTGTAGCTTGGTGCTTGGTAGCTGGTGGCTTGTAAAATCTAGAAACGAATAGATAAAATTCAAATTTTATATCCTGCACAGCTTGTGGTACAGTGTATATTAAGTATGCGCGCACGTATATAATAGAAGAGTGCAACTTGATATAAAACTTAACTTTATCAACTTTGGATCATGCAGATCTATTTTTTGGACCCCAGCGATGTCATGGAAAGTAAACCTTCGTGTTCCAAAAAACTCTAATTTTTAATATTTTGTGATAAAAAATTTCTCCAGAATAATTTATAATTTGACACAAAAATTATTTGGATCAAACTTTGGATCTATTTGTTTGACCCCCTTCTATATAAAGATTCTCATGAAGAGAAAGCACTTAGGCAAAAACTTTAATTTCAACCTTCTGTAATGAAAATTATAACGATTTAGCATAAAAATTAGCAGTAGAAAATTTGGATCACATAGACCTATTTTCCCGATCCCATCGTAGTTAGGTTTTCTCATCCAATGTAAGCTCCTACAAGGCGACAAAGTCTAACTTGTAATTGCTCTGATGAAAAGTATTTAATAAGTAGACTAGCTTTACTAAACATAGACCACGTCAGTGGACATTTTGCTCACCGTCTCACGTCCATGAAACGTATGACTTTGTTTGGAAACAATGTATAATTTTCAGGGTATTATTACGAAAGTGAACGAATCGCCGTATTGGCGAAGCAGTGTAGGCTATTTAAAGATCGGCCTTGCCCGACCATAAATTTTTACTTGTTTCATATCATTTTTTTAAAACATCTGTCTTAAAGTAATCCTAACGGCTTATCCACGTTAATCGAAGAATTGCACTTGTCGCGACCGTTCGCCGTAAGACAAATCTTCTTATTGCTTGTTTTCTTTTTTTCTTTTTTTTTGTTAAATTTTCTAAAGTGTCTAGAGCCACAATAATGTTCACTTCATGTTTCCTTTATTATTATTTTCTTTACAGTGCATGCTGCCCTAACCTATAGTACATCGTCTTCTTCCTTCATTAATACGCCTGCCACGCTATTATTTACCACATATCATGACATACAGGTGGCGAACATTACAAAACCAACCGGAGGCCCTCAAATTGAGGTGCTCGTTAAAGATCTCACCGAAACCATGGCCATTGATTTCTATTATGCCAAAAATTTGGTATGCTGGACAGATTGTGGTCGTGAAATTATAGAATGCGTTAACGTCAATACGACGGGGCCGATTTTGAAGGCGCCCAAACAAACTGTGATATCATCGGGCTTAGATAAGCCCGAGGGTTTAGTGATAGATTGGTTTACGGACAAAATCTATTGGACTGATGGCGAGAAAAATCGCATAGAAGTGGCTACGCTGAACGGTAAATACAAGAAAGTTCTCTTTTGGACAGATTTGGATCAGCCTAGAGCCATTGCTTTAGTGCCATCCAAACGATTTTTAATTTGGACCGATTGGGGTGAATACCCAAAAATAGAGCGTGCAAGTATGGACGGTGATCCTTCAACACGCATAACTTTAGTCAAGGACGACGTTTTTTGGCCGAATGGTCTAACTGTGGATTTGAAAAATGAATTAATTTATTGGACTGATGGTCATTTGAGATTTATCGATGTGATGAAGTTAGATGGTAGCAATCGCCGCGCGGTAGTGAAAAATCTTAAATATCCTTACAGTGTAACGTACTTTGAGAGTCGTCTATATTGGACGGATTGGTCACAAGGCTCATTAAATGCTTTCGATTTAAAAACGAGGGAAATGAAAGAACTCATAGATACACCGGAGGCTCCAAACTCGGTAAGAACGTGGGATCCTTCCTTGCAGCCTTATGAAGACAATCCCTGTGCTCACAACAATGGCAATTGTTCCCATTTGTGCCTCCTAGCTACAAACAGCCAAGGATACAGCTGTGCATGTCCTACAGGAGTTAAACTGATTTCGTCTAATACTTGTGCAAACGGTTCCCAGGAGATGTTATTTATTGTGCAAAAAGGAGAAATTAGTAAGATATCATTAGATTCACCTGATTTTACCATATTTCCACTACCAATGGGAAGAGTTAGATACGCCATTGCCATTGATTATGACCCCGTAGAGGAATACATCTATTGGTCTGACGTGGAAGCGTTTGCAATTAAAAAAGCACATCCTGATGGTACAGGCCTGACGGATTTTGTTACCTCTGAAGTCAAACACGCCGATGGCTTGGCCGTTGATTGGTTAGCTCGAAATTTATACTGGACTGACACAGATACAGATCGTATAGAAGTAAGTCGTCTCGATGGCTCAGCCCGCAAGGTGTTGATTTATGAACATCTAGAAGAACCTAGAGCTATTGCTTTAGCTCCAACATTAGGTTGGATGTTTTGGAGCGACTGGAATGAAAAAAAACCGAAAGTGGAGCGCGCATCTTTAGACGGATCGGAGCGTGTTGTGCTAGTATCGGAAGATCTTTTGTGGCCCAACGGTATTGCTCTAGATATAGAAGCTAAAACTATTTATTGGTGTGATGGGAAAACTGATAAAATTGAAGCTGCTAATATGGACGGATCTGATCGCAGAGTCGTAATAAGTGATAACCTAAAACACCTTTTCGGCTTAAGTCTGCTTGACGATTATCTCTATTGGACCGATTGGCAAAGACGCTCAATAGATCGCGCTCACAAGATAACTGGCAGTAATCGCACGGTGGTTGTCGACCAGTATCCCGATTTGATGGGCTTGAAGGTAACACGTTTGCGAGAAGTGAAAGGCACCAACGCTTGTGCCATACGTAATGGTGGCTGTTCTCATCTGTGTTTAAATCGTCCTAGTGATTACGTATGTCGTTGCTCCATCGAATACGAGTTAGCTAACGATAAGAAAACGTGTGTTATACCTGATGCCTATCTTCTTTTTTCAAAGCAAGAGTATATTGGCCGCATTTCAATCGAAAACAATGAAGGCAACCATAACGATGAAAAGATACCATTTAAAGATGTGCGGTATGCTCATGCATTAGACGTAGATGTAACCGATAAAAGACTTTATTGGACCGATCAAAAATCGAAGTGTATATTTCGAGCCTTTCTTAATGGTTCCTACGTGCAGCGTATTGTAGACGCCGGTATTATTAGACCTGAAGGTATAGCAGTAGACTGGCTCGGGCACAATATTTATTGGACTGATTCTGAAGCGCGTCGAATAGAAGTTGCCAGATTTGATGGGAGCAGTCGTAGAGTCTTAATATGGAAGGGCGTTGAAGAGCCCCGCTCTTTAGTTCTAGAGCCGCGAAAGGGTTATATGTACTGGACAGAGTCCCCGTCCGACTCTATAAGACGAGCCGCAATGGATGGTTCTGAATTACAAACAATCATCTCTCAAGCTAATCATGCCACTGGTTTGACCTTGGATCCCGAAACCAGACGATTATATTGGGCTACACAATCCCGTCCTACTAAGATCGAATCAGCTGATTGGGACGGTAAGAAACGTCAGGTTTTAGTGAGCACCGATGTTGATGAACCCTACGCAGTGTCGTTGTATCAAGACTACGTTTACTGGAGTGACTGGAATACCGGAGACATTGAAAGAGTGCATAAACTAAGTGGGCAGAACAGAAGCCTGGTGCATAGTGGAATGACTTATATTAGCTCGTTGTTAGTCTATTATAATCAAAGGCAAGCAGGTTCGAATCCTTGTAAAGTGAACAACGGGGGATGCTCCCACCTGTGTCTGGCTCTGCCAAATAGAAGAGGAATGATTTGTGCTTGTCCCACTCACTTTATATTAGCTAAAGATAACGTATCATGTATACCGCCGAAGAATTACATTATATTCAGTCAACGGAACAGTTTTGGACGTCTGCTGCCCAACACCACTGACTGTCCCAATGTCCCACTACCGGTAATGGGAAAAAATATAAGAGCGGTGGAATATGATCCCATAACACATTTTGTTTATTGGGTATGTGTGAGCAAATAATACAAACAGAAAATGCTCTCCTTTAAAAAGAATATTGAATATTTCTGTTTAGGTGGAAGGTCGAAGCCATAGCATTAAACGGTCCTTGATAAATGGCACCAGGCCTTTAGTTCTCGTTGGTTCTGGCTCACAACCTTTTGACATAGCTATAGATGTTATAGGACGTCTGTTGTTTTGGACCTGCTCTCATTCGAACAGCATTAACATTACAAGGTAGGTAGAAGTTGAGCACCATTTATATAGTGTAATGAAAACTTATTTATGGTTTTAGTTTTAACGGTGATTCCGTCGGCGTTATTGACAGTGGAGATTCCGAAAAACCGCGCAATATAGCCGTTCACTCGATGAAGCGTTTACTTTTTTGGACTGATGTTGGTAGCCAGCAAGCAATTGTGCGAGCTCGTGTCGATGGAGCCGAACGTGTTGTATTGGCTTTCAAGTTAGAAGGTGTCACCGCCTTGGCTGTGGACCAACAAAGTGATATGATTTATTACGCTCATGGCAAGCGGATCGATTCTATGGATATAAATGGCAAAAACAAGTAAGCATTGCCAAAAGAATTTTTTTGGACATGAAGGATTTGAAAAATTAATCTCCCTTTTTAGAAAAATCTTGGTATCTTCGCATATCTCGCAAGTCATGTCTATAGCCGCCTTGCAAGGTTTTGTTTATTGGTTGGACGATAAGACAGGCGTAGAACGCATTACAATGATAGGCGAAAGTCGTAAACCAGAAATGCAGCGCATGCCACAAATAACCGATATTGTAGCTGTTTGGACGCCCGAATCAAAACTTTTTCGTAACCACACCTGCTTACACAGTCGGACAAAATGCTCGCACATTTGCATAGCTACAGCCGAAGGTAGAACTCGAGAAATATGTTCCTGTCCCAAAAATTTGATGCTTCTCGAAGATGAACTAAATTGTGGAGCTTTGCCGGCTTGTGGACCGGATCACTTCACATGTGCGGCGCCGATGAGCGGAAACGGTGCAAATAATGATATGAATAAAGATTGTATACCTGCTTCGTGGCGTTGCGATGGACAAAATGATTGCCCAGATAAATCCGATGAGGTTGGTTGTCCTTCATGTCGACCCGATCAATTTAGTTGCCAGTCGGGTGAATGCATTGATAAAACATTAGTCTGTGACGGTACTACTAATTGCGCCAACGGTCACGATGAGGCAGATTGCTGCAAACGACCAGGGGAATTTCAGTGTCCCATTAATAAGGTAAGTTAAGTGTAGCTAATTAATTTTCTCTTACTAACGGTTGTAAAACCTAGCTTTGCATATCGGCGGCTCTGCTATGCGATGGTTGGGATCACTGTGCCGATGGTGCCGACGAGTCAGCTGAAATTTGTTCGCAAGCCATTACAAGACGTATGGCTCCGTCCTCTGATAAAAAAGCTTTTATGATTTTGATTGTAGCCACTATGATTACTATATTTTCTATTGTGTATTTGTTGCAATTCTGTCGCACACGTATTGGCAAAAATCGTAACGAACCAAAAGATGACCAAGCCTCGGATCCCTTATCTCCTTCAACGCTCAGCAAGTCTCAAAGGGTGTCAAAAATAGCTTCGGTAGCAGATGCAGTACGAATGTCTACCTTGAACTCGCGGGCAAGTATGAGTTCTTATGATCGAAATCATATAACCGGAGCTTCTAGTTCTACTACTAATGGTTCAAGCATGGTAGCGTATCCTATCAATCCACCGCCATCGCCGGCAACTCGCTCCAGACGACCGTACCGTCATTACAAAATCATAAATCAACCGCCACCACCTACGCCCTGTTCGACAGACATATGCGACGAATCCGACTCAAATTATACTAGCAAATCTAATAGTAATAATAGTAACGGAGCTACCAAATTGTCATCGTCATCGGCGAACGCTAACTCTTGTTTACAGTACGCTTACGATAGCGAGCCCTACCCTCCACCGCCTACACCCCGATCACATTATCACAGTGACGTTCGAATACTGCCGGAATCGTCGTGCCCGCCATCGCCTAGTTCTCGGTCTTCAACGTATTTTTCACCCCTTCCACCGCCACCATCACCCGTGCAATCACCTAGTCGTGGTTTTACGTAACATTACGAGATTTTTATGTAAATTTTTTTCTGCTAAAACGGGAGGAATCGAAAATCATATCTACGCCATAAAACGAGAGACGTTACATTTATTTTTTTAAAGTTAGATAATAAATTCAAAAAAAGATATCGCAAACGAAAGGAAAAAGTTATGCTTCCAAAATTTTCTTAAGATATATAATGTAACTACCTAATCTTTTTATGTATATAATCTATCCGAAAAATTTTTTCTTTCATTTACATGATAGAAGCAATCACTATGAAAGCTTTTTATAAGGGAAGACCCAAAGAAGGCACTATTTACAGATAAGGCTATTGACAATTTTGAATCTTTCATTTACTATAATTTTGAACACATAATCATGTACTTTACATATCAAGACATACCATTAATACATTTGGTGTAATCTCTTCTAAGTTTTTCTAAATACGTATACCTCGACAATTTCAACAAAACCGTTTGAGCTAGTGGGTCCTTCCGTGAATTAAACAAGCCTTTATTTCCTAATTGAATTGCAAGGAATTTACAAAAAAAAAAAAAAAAAAACAAATACTATAATTCTTTAACAATTTGGCATCAATTAATTTTATATCGGATTGAAATAAGTTCCTAAAAAGTATATTCAATTTTACACGATTGCAGTTAATTTCATTTGAGATTTGCTGAAGCAGCTGAATGTTGCCCTGCTTTCTTCCAGGAGAGGTAGAAGCACCATCTTATAAATTAAAAATCAATCAATTGCGCATTTGATCCAAAATCCTTAGCTATGTTTAAACGACTAGCACACTTAACAATCATTGCACTTGAAACAATGGAGAGGCATTTCTTTCACATTTACGATTTCCATTTGAAAACATTGAAACTGACTCGGTTCACATTGAATGAAGTGAATTAATTCATGCAAATGGCATTCTTAGTTCGGCCTGAAATTTCACTCTTTCCTATAAGTAGTATGTGAAGCTTCAGAAATGCACTGGAACGTTCCTTTACCGATTTAATGTGATCACTTCATGAGGGGGGGGACAAAATAAGCTTTGTATCTTTAAGTGACAATTTCTCGCATAGACAAAACGTAAATTATAATGTTTTTGCATATGACGTAATGGTTCCAAATTGTCAATAGTTATTTCAATCACAAAGTTTTTATGAAATTTTCAAGTTTTCTTATTTCTTCAGTCTTCCTATGATTCGATCCATTTACTCGGATTAAATTTCGCCTTAAAAATGATTTTTTAAATATGAACAACGAATTGAAATTTGATTTTTTTTTTTTTTTTTGATTTAAGTTCGTCGTTCAAATTGACCATTAAAATTCAAAACATAATGATATAATGAATGAAATGAAATAATAATTTAAAAAAAAAATTTTTTTTAAATATTACAAAAAAATAAATAATTAAAACGTAAGGAACAAGTGCTCACTGTTAAAAAAAAAAAAAAAAAGGAAGAGAACAAAAATTTATCTTTGAAAATAGTTCAAATAATTTATTAACGTGCCAAATTGTATGTAAAACCATTTAATACTTAAAAAACTTAATATATATATAAAAATGAAAGTAAAAGAACTTTTCTTTTCTTACTTACCTCCCCTCTTCGTTTTGCATTTCGTTTTGATAAACATCCAAACTATTTTCATAATAATT